CTCAAAACGGCTCCGAGACGGCCGACGAAACGCCCAAGGTTCCAAGGAGGAAACCACCAACCGACAATCCGAGCTTTCCCCCCCAAGACGCCCACCCAAAAGGCGTCAAACAACTCTTCGAAAGGTTGAGGAACAACCCAAGAGCGCGCCCAAGAGGGCATCAAAAGGCTCAAATCCGTCCTTTCCCCTCGTTGCCCCCCGCATCAGCCAGTCCTCCTCCTCGTCCGCCTCGTCCTCCTCGCCCTCCTCCTCGTCGTCGTCCTCCTCCTCCTCCTTCTCCTACGGTTCCTCATCCTCCTCCTTTTCATCCCTATCCCGCCTCCTCCTAACGCCCAGGATCGGCGCGCCGGCCGTAAATCCTTCTGAGTAAAATGGTCACTGCAGGGTCACAGGGTGGTCTCTTCGCCGTGAGCGGCGCGGTGGTGATACAGGACTTGCTCCAAGAAATTGCGGCGCACCATTGTGAGCGGAATGCCGCTCGCCACGTAGCACCCCACGAAAAATTCGCCGCCCCAACGGGCCAAGGGCGTGCTAAGACAAGATCTCCGGTAGCTGGTTAACCGTATTTCTAGTTCGCGCGCGCGGGGCCGCCCGCCCCTGGGGGTCCCCGGCCAGGTCCCGGACGAAGAGCGCTCCAGGAATGCTGTAAGTGGCCTCCCAGAGAGCTCAACATGATCCGAGACGGTCCGAGAGCGATCCAAGACACCAAAGATGGTCCCCAGACAGCCCTAAGCGCCTTCAAGAATCCCCAAGAGGGCTCCAAGAGACCTCCCAAGAGGGCCCACAGGAAAAGAAAATTGTGAATTTCGGCTTCCCGGGGCTGTCAGACGGCCCGAGAGGCTTCCAGGATCGCCCCAACACGGCCCGAGCGCCCAAAACTGCCCAAGAGGGCCCCAAGACAGCCCCAGAGGCCTCCAAAATGGCCGAAGAGCCTACCATGACGGCTCCAAGAGCGGGCCCAGACGGGGGACCCGAACGGACATTTCGAGCTCTAGGCGCAAAAAGGTCCCCTGGAGGCCCCAACAGCCCCGCCAGAAGCCCCTAATAGGCCTCCGAGAGGCCCCAAGAGACTCCCAAGAGGCCCCCAAGAGGCCCCCGTGGCGCCCGCGGAGGCCCCAAAGAGGCTCCCACGAGACATCCAGGATATCACCAACATACCGCCACGAGGCCCTCGAGAAGCCTCCCAAAAAACTCACAGAAAACTCCCAAAGAGGCGCCTTGTCCATGACCAGTTTCGCCCCAAATTGACACAACAAGCCCTCCAGAAACCTCCTCCTCATCCTCATCCCCCCCCGTTTCCTCCTCCTCGTCCTCCTCCTCATTTTCGCTCGCCACGAACACACAAGCATATAGCACCAGTAATGCAAGATGGGCCGGCGGAGTGAGCGAAACGATGAAATAGCACACTCTGCGCACCCCTGTGCCTGCGTACGAATGCACCCCTGTGCCTGTGTATGCCGCCAGCACGTACATCACAGTGCCCGCGAAGACAACAAACCGCGCCAACACCTCCAGGTGCTCGACGGTGCCAAACTCTCGGAGCCGGACATGGCACGCCACAAAGGCTGCCAAGATGATCCATTACTTCTCCCTGGCGGCGAAGATGGCTCAAACTGGCCTCTTGTCTGCCAAAAAGGTCTTCGAGACGGCTCAAATGGGATCCAATAGAGCCTCCAAGATCGCCCGAAGAGGCCACATTCATTGAGTTGTTGTTGTTATTGTTGGTGTTGTTGTTGTTGTTGAACTCTCATTCCTGAAGAATAATTATTGTTGATCCCCCCTGTCCGGTGCCCACTGTTTTTTTTCAATTGAAGTGTTTCATCCGGGGCTCGCACCCTGTTTTTTGACAAGGAAAGCCTTGCGGATCAGATTGCGTTGTTGGGCCCCGGACTACAACAACGGCTCCCGCCTGAGACCTCCTCACAATTTACTCAGGACCCCCGCTCACGCCTGAGACTTCTTCAAAATTTACTCCGGAAGGGCGCTCCCGCTTCAGACTTTCTCAAATTTTACTAAGAAACGGCGCTCCCGCTTGAGACTTCCGTAATCAGGACCCCTGCTCCCGCCCGAGACTTCCTCATAATTTACTCAGGAATGGCGCTCTCACCTAGGACTTCCTCGCAATTTCTTGCAGCATCGCGTTCTCGACGCTCAGGAACCACGCTCTCGCCAAGGACGCCCTCGCAATTTACTTAGGAATCGCGCTCTCGCTTAACACTTCCTCGCAATTTACCCAAAAATCCCGTTTGAATGTCCCGCCCGCCCGACCCGCCCGTCAGGGTCCGCCCGCCCGACCGGCGCTCCCGCCTGAGACGTCCGACAATGTACTCGGGACCCCCGCTCCCGCCCAACTCTTCCTTGAGGAATACGCCCTCGCCTAGGACTTCCTAGAACGTTCACACTCTTACCCTCCTGCCCCTTCCTCCCCATCCAACCTCCCTCCTCCCTCCCCTCTCCCTCATATCCACCCTCCTCCTCCCTCTTCCTCTCTCCCCTCACCATCCTCCCATAACCCTCCTCCCTCCTCTCTTCGCCCTCCCCTCTCCAGCCTCCTCCTTCCTCCCTCCTCTGTCTCTCTATCTCCAATCGTCCCCCCCCCCCTCCTCGCCCCCTCTCTCCTGGCGTGTTCCCCTTTAGCCTCGTCCCTCCCCCTCCCTTCCTCCCACTCTCCCTCGTTCTCCCCCTTCCTCTTCTTGCAGGGCCCGCGCTAATTCCAATGGTGGGCAAAGAGATGCGTGCCCCATCCTCCGAATAATTCCCCGCCCGTTCACGCCCGCTTGTCTAAGCCCGCCCGCCCCCGCAAAAAGAAAAAATCCCCCCAGAAGGGGGTACGCTCGAAGACGAAGGGGGCGGGTATCGAGGGCGTGGGTATACACGTTGCATGGCACGCGGGCAAGTAAGAGCGAACAATCTTAAAATGAGTGTTGTTGTTGTTGATGATAGTGTTGCTATTGTTGGTGTTGTTGTTGTTGAACATCATTTATTCTAAAGAATAATTATTGTTGGGCCCCCTGGTGCGCGCCCCCCCTGCGCCGCCTAGGCCGCAGCTACATTTTCATCACTTTCGTGAGGAAGCCTCAGAAAAGAGGGTGTGTACAGGATCCGGTTGTTTTGTTGTAATCCGCTTTCCCTTGCAAAAAACAATAGAAAATGACATTTCTTGTTCTAATATAATCAAATTTCAAGAATCCCTTGCAAAAAATAAGGTAAAGTGGACATTCGCGCGCGCAAGACGAAATCCTTCCAAAACCTTAGTGTTCGCAGCGATTTTAACATAAAAACATCAAAAAACCAATGGTTTTTCAACAAAAAATGTCAAAATCTCATCCCGCGCGCTCTTTTCGGATTCGTAGGAAACCCAACACTTTTTAAACATTTCTGTCAAACGGGCTTTTGCGAGCAACTTTTTCGAACTTCTGCGACAACGGTTGCGCACCTGCCAGGGCCATCATCCCTGTCAAATAATACCATGCGGGACACATTCGTTTTTTCTTCCCACATCCCTCAGGAATTTGCCCTAAAGATGTGATCAACTATCTTGCGAGTACGTATCATGCGTATCATGTGTATCATGTACCATATGCATCATATGCAACAGATGTTCTGTGGAAGGCTTCACAACTTCTGTGGGTTAACAAGGCTTAACAACTTCTGTGGGTGTACGAACGTAGGCTAATACCATGCGGGACACATTCGTTTTTTCTTCGCGCGCGCACGCCGAAATCTTCAAAAACCATTGGGTTTCTTAGGAATTTTAGCACCGCGCAACATACAATCATACGAATCGCACCGTAGGTCCTCGAAAAACATCTGTACGAATTTTCAAAATTTCTACCCGCGCGCGCTGTCCGAATCCTAAAAATCCGAGTCACTGTACCCATGCGCCAGTGTAGTAGCCACGGTCGTCCGCAGGCCACGAAGTGAAGTGTCCGAACGTCATAGGGCGGGAAGCTGGGTGTGGGTGGTGGCGAAGAGTCGTTTGGAAATGTGGTAGAGCTTGAACCGGCCCCCCCACAAAGTGGGGGTATTGGCGGGCGTCGTATGAAAACCCTGGCACTGGTGAGAACACTGAGCGTTCGGGTAAAGTGATTGTTGTTGTTGTTGTTATTGGTATTGGTATTGTTATTGTTCTTGTTATTGTGCTTGTGATTGTTATTGTTATTGTTATTGTTTTTGTTCTTGTTCGTGTTGTTGTTGTTGTTGGTGGTGGTGTTGGTGTTGGTGTTGTTGTTGTTGTTGTTGTTGTTGTTGTTGTTGTTGTTGTTGTTGTTGTTGTTTGTGTGTCTTGTTTGTTGTTTTCTCGACTCTTCCACATTCTCCCATTCTCTTCGTTTCAAGGTTGTGTCGGCTCAACTGCCCCAGAAGCCTCCAAGATGGCCTCAAGACTGCTCAGAAAGGCACCAGGAGGGCTCAAAGACGGAGCGGCCCAAGAGGACCCGAGGTCGGCCCAAACAGGCGCTCAGAAGGGCCTGAAGGTCTTCAAGAGAGCCCCAAGACGACCCAGAGAGTCCATCAAGAGGAATTCTCACAGCGCCCATACGGCCCAAGAGCGCCCTCAGACGACCCAAGGAGCCCCCGAAAGCTCCCGAGCGACCCCCAAGGCTGCCAAGAGGCCCAGAGAGCCTTCAAAGAACTCAAGATGCCCTCAGAACCTTCAAAAGGCCCGAAGTGTCACAGTTGACGGCCTCCCGCGCTCCCTCGAATAGCCGCCACTCAACATGCTAGACTTGCACGGTGGCGGAATTGCCATTGGCAGCTGGATAAGGATGCAAGACGAGGGCGCAAGCCCCTTGGACGTCAGAGCGGGCTATGGATCGCAGACGTGATGGGTTGGGGACGCTTCCAGGAGGCGAGGGTGCAATGGCACCCGGCACCCCATGTAATTAAAGGCACCCGCTTGACGCTTCAGGAGCGCCCAAGGGCGACCCAGGACGCCCAAGGGCGCTCTGCCGGCGTCACAGATGGGGCAGCCTGGCGCCACCCCTGGCAGGGCGGCGCTCCTTGATCTTGGCGAGGTGCCCCATGGACATTGGGTCGACGTTCTTCATGATCACCGCGCCTCCCTGGCCATCGTCTGTCACGCGCGACGCATCTCGAGGGTTCCTCTAGGTTGTCGGGGCTCTCGGGGTCTCCCTATGCCCCAGGATCCTCAACCTCAAACAACTGCTCATGATGAAGACGTGTTCCAGGGGGAACGCTCAGAGTCCAGGACCTGCTTTAAGACGAAGCCAGGACAGGGACAAAATCGGACCTGGACAAATCGGGGCCCTCTGAGATCTGGCAGGTGTGGAAGATGTATCCCGGACCGCGGCATTCTCAGCGTTCCAGAGCGCTCTGAGAGCGGTCAGGAACGCCCTGGAAAGATCCATCCCTGTCCTTTAGTTAACCCCGCTGGACGTTTCCCTCAGGATGCGCTTCCTTCACGACAATTCCCTGCAATCGGCGGTGGACAAACCTCCCTTTAGTAAACCTCCCCTAAGTGGAAACGGCGTAGGACCGAAACCAACGGACCTGGACCCGCAAAAATGACGGCCGCGACGCCCTCTCGCGAACCGAAAACGGCCAATTCCTTAATCGACGTGTCAGGGTAGGAGGTCTGTCAACCTCCGATACAATCGCTCGCGCACGACGCGGCGTCGCAGGATCCGGTGCCCCGTTCGCCTTTGCGTGCGCCGAGCCATGGCGCACCTGCAGACATGCTGTCAGCATCGCGCCGTGCACGGAGCAGAACACGCGGGCGAAGGCACGGACCCAGCTTCGGAGGAAGAGGAAGCGACCGCCCAGTCGCCGGTATGACTGCGTCTGGCGTGAATGACTGGGTCATAGGCACATTCCCAGGACGTGGGATGCCTTCCTAGACACGAGCTGTCGCTCTGCGTGTTGACGCATCCAGGTGGGAGGCTACACTAGAAGCATACAAACATGACTAAGCATCGATTTTCGAAGGGCTGCGCAAACTTCTTGGATCGGCGCTGAACTCCTTCTCGTAGCGCCCTGTGCGCGCCAGGAGCGGCGGACAGTTATGCAGTTGTTTCTTCTTCGATTGCCCCGACTGAGTTGGAAGGCGGCACGAGACAGGTCCTGCGCATGATAGCGGGGCGAACCTAGAAACGATGGGGCCATCATCGCAGTATCACCGCTCGGCTAATGAGGGCACTGGCGCGCGCGGGCAACCGATAAGCGAAGAAAAATCATGTCACGCGTGTATGTGAACATATTGCATGTATGTATATCTATCTATAAATATATGTCGATATATTGATATACGCGAGAATGTATGTGGAACGCGCGTGCTTATACACAACAACACAAAAAAACACAACACACACAAAAGTGGGACCCGAACCGTGTGTGCTCTAGCGTGGCCGTGTTCTCCGGTCATGAACACTGGCTCGTTGCTCGTGTTTGCGACCCTGGCGTGCTTTCGGTTGGTCCTGGCGCGCCTGCGCTTGCTTGTTGTGCGCACGCGCGGTCGAAAAGCGATTGCTCCCGAAGGGACGACGCATGAATCCCACATTTACCACCTCCAACGTCGTGGTTGTATTGACGGCCCTGGGGCCTGGGGACCACCAAAACACGTTGAACAGTACTGGCTTTCAGACGTAGGACTGGCTGGGGAAGAATCGGGGAGGGTGTCGCAACTCCGGTTATGCTGGCTGGCTTGCGGCCAGAAGGACCCCACGACTGGAACACGGAAAGACATCTGACATCTCTCCCGCCCTCCGCTCCTCCTCAACCAAGGGGGCCTAGATAGCCAAATGCTCTTCCTGCTCTTTCGCTCTCTCCACCTCTTCATTTTCCTCCTCTCCCGCCACGCCCAGCAACCGCAACGCCAGCCCTCCCCACTGTAAGCCCCACCAACCCACAGCCTCAGCCGCTTTGGAGAGGGGCAGAAATAGACATTTGATTGGCCTGCCTCTAAACAAGCACGCATGTGGGCGCGGAGAAATGGGATGATGAGGAAAGAGGGAAGGAGGAAGGAGAAGCGGGAGGATGAGGAGGATGATAGGAGACTGAGCAGGAGGAGAGCGATGAGCAGGCAAAGGAGAAAGAGAGGCAGAAGGAGAAAAGCGGGCTTCTTGGTCCATTGGACTGCTCATGTGCCACAAGGCCCCTCGGGCCGTAACCGCCCCACCGCGAGCGCCACTACCCAGAAGGGCCTATGAGCCAACGCGGTAGGGGTCGGCGGGCCAACACCCCTTGGCGGAGACGCCTGCTTGCGCGTCTGCGCCTCCGGGCCCACGGCACCCCCATCCCCAACTGGCACCCAGGGAGGGCGCCGTGCAGGCCGGCAAGCACTCCCTGTCTGTGTGTGTGTGTGTGTGTGTGTTGGTCCGCGGTCTCGCCCGTCGCTCCTCCCTCCTCCTGGTTCACGCACGCAGTGGGGCAGAACCCGAGGGAGCGAGAAGGGAGGAGGAGAAGGGGGCGCGAAAGGCAGTGGAAAGTAGGTAAGATGACCGACGAGGGCACCAGAAATGCGATGCGAGGGGAAGGGGGTGGAGACTCGGGATGAGGGGGAGGAGAAGGGAGAACGACGAGCCGGGAGGAGGCAATGGGGACGGGGCGGACAGGGGAAGGAAGGAAGGAAGGAAGGATGGACAGACGATGGAGAGAGTTAGGCGAGGGAGTGCTCCAGGTAATCGAGCTCTGTGAGCACACAAGGCGCGAGTCAATGCGGAGCCTCACTTCCGCTTGCCCGCACCGCTCCTCCTGGCCACTCCCGGCAACTCCTCCTCCAGACGCATGCGCACGCACACGCATACGTTTTCCGTCGGCGGCGCAGTGGGGCAATCCGCTCCAGCGTTGCAGCGATGCAGAAGGCACCACGAAGCAAATTGGCCGGCATGGAGGAGGACGGGGCGGACGCATACACATACACACCACACATAAAATCCACACACACACACTCACATACACTCACTCACGTACACACACGCACACACACATACGAATCCACACACACGCACGCACGCACGCACGCACGCACGCACGCACGGCCGCGGACCCCCCTGTCGCGGCCCCTCCGTCGATCTCGGCCAGTGCGTCCCTGGGCTCGTCGCCCATGAGCACACCTTCTCGCCCGCGGCCCGGGCGGAGGGGGAGACCGCTGCGGGTCTCGCAGGAAGCCCAACGCGCTGACAACCAAGAGCGCCCTGAACGCAACGGCGTCTTCGAAGGCCGCGGAAAAGTCACCTCGCGGCGCGCAGGACGAAGCAGCCAACGGTGCCTTCCAGTCTCTTGGTGAAGGGTGCCCCGGGGTGGCAGGACAACAAGGATCGAGCGAACGAACGCCTGGGCACGGGGGGGAAACAGGACCCCAGAGCTCCCGAGCCTGAGCCCGCTCGGACGTGAAGTGGGCGCGCGGCTGGGTCAGCACCCACAAAAAATCGAAGGGGCCCAAACCAAACCCGAACAACTGCCAAACGGGCGAGATCTCGGGCCAGTTCGGCGGTGGAATTGGCTGGGCCAAAGAAAGACATACAACACATATATATGTATATATATATATGTTTCTCTCTCTCTCTCTCTCTCTCTATATATATATATATATCTATATTTATCTATATATATATAGCTATATCTATCTATATATCTATATATATATCTATATATCTATATATATATATCTCTATACATCTACATATCTATCTAACTATATCTATACATATGTATCTATATATCTATATACCTATATATATCTGTATATCTACCTATATATATATATCTATCTCTATATATATATATCTTTCTATATATCTATATATATATACTACTATATATCTATATATCTATATATCTATCTATATATCTATCTATATATCTATCTATATACCTGTCTATCTATCTAGCTATCTATCTATATATATATATATATATATATCTAATATACATATAGAGAGATATATCTATATATAAATAGATAGAGATCTCTCTCTCTCTCTCTACTCGAACGATCGCGCGCACATCGCGCGCGCTCAGGTTCTAGCCTGGGCCGAGGGGGCGCTGGATGATCTTGGACAGCGCTACCAAGCACAGGCTCGTCGCATAGTCGTGCCTCCTGAGAGCCTCTTGGGAACCTCTTGGGTCTTCGCGGGGGGCATCTGACAAGCTTCTGGGGGGTTCTCCGTGCTTCCTCAATTGGTTGGTGAATGCACATGTTGGGTGCTTCTTGGGGGGGCGTCTTGGGGCTTTTGGGGGCCCTTTGGGGGCATCGTCGGGGTTCTCCGATCGGCCAATGTGATGTTCTGCAGTCTGAAGCCGTCATTGGCCGTCTTGGCTGCGTGGAGGCCCGATTTATAAGGGCACCTAAGACCACACTGAGGCAATCCGGAAGCCTCCTGGGGGCCTCCTGGAGGCAATTTTGATGCATCGAGGGCATTGTTCGGCTATCTCGGGGCCCCTTGTACGCCTCCTGGGGGCCTCGTTGGGCCTCTTGGAGGCTTTTGGGGGCCTCGTCGGACCGCTTGGGAACTCTTGCGGCCTCACGTCGGCCTCTTAGGGCGGAAGGCCTTGCTGTTGGGTTGGCTTTCCCTTTCTTGGGGCAGCTGGGCGTTCCCGGACTTTCCCAAAGGCACCCAAGGCCTTCCCAAAGCGCTCCAGGGTGCTTCCAGGGCATCCCGCCGTCTTGGGCCCTCGCGGGCCGTCTTAGGCGCCTCAGGCACCGTGTTGGGTCTCTCGTAGACCGTGTTGGGGCCCTCTTGGAGGCCTTTTCAGCTATCTTGGAGCCGTCTTGGGGGGCCTCTGGGGGCGTCTGGGAGCGTCAGGATGCGAAAAGGCTGAACACTCGAAAATCCATCGAACAAAACATCGGAAAATCATTACGTCGCCCTCGCCCTCGCTGGAGAGTGGCCGGCGCCCTTGCGCCAGCAAGAGGTGTGTAATGAGCGCTGCCTTGCTGGAGTCTTCTGGAAGCACACGCGAGACCCCCAGCCAGAACAGGGCGCTGGCGAAAGCTCCACTGGGCGGCGAGGGCGGGGAAACGATGTCACGCAGCGACCATGCTTAGCTCTTTGCACGGAGCCATGGGAGAGCGTCGTGCGCCAGCGGCCCTGCCGGGCGCAGCGCTAGCCGAACTCGTGCGCGACAGTGCGCCGGCAGAGCATCGACGAAGAGCGCGGGCAGCGCGCAGCGTGGCGACGAGGGGCGCCGGCAGAGGCCACGGGGAACGCCGGCGCAACAGAATGGCAGGGCAGAGCGCTGAGAGGCAGAATGGCAGGGCAGGGCAGGGCAGAATGGCAGGGCACAGCGCCGCACCGGCCACGTGACCTGGCTTATTCCGACCGAACGTGTCGCCCCCGCCCCCCTGTCCTCTGGTCACGGGGCAGGGAGAGAGGAGGGGGCACGGTCGGTCGGAAAAAGGGAAAGGAGGGAGAGGGGGGAGGGAAACGGGAGGGGAGACGGGCGGAGGTCAGGGAGAGGAGGGGGGCACGGTCGGTCGCAATAAACCAGGAAGGGGCACGGGACGGGCAGAGGGGAGGGGGCATGATATGTTGGACTAAGCTTGGGGGGGGCAGCAAGAGTCACAGCACACATCCCAGCACGCATATCCAGCGCACATCCCAGGCACGGTCGGTCGGGCGGTCGAAATACTGCAGCGCGAGATCACACCGGTAGGTATGTTAACAAGGGAAAATAATGCGATGGGGCGAGGGAAAAGAGAAGGGGGACGGGCAAAGGACAGGAAAAGGAAGGGGGCACGGTCGGTCGGAACAGGCCAGGGGGGGTGCTGAGATGTGTGCAGGGCTGTGTGCATCCTCCGTGTGCAGGGATACGTGCTGGGATGTGTGCTGGCTTCGCGTGCTGGGATACATGCTAGGGTGGGGCCTGGGTGCGCGCCACCCCCGTGTGCCCTATTTGCCCCCCGCACCCCTCCGCTCCGTGGCCACCGTCTGCTTATTCCGACCGACCCACCCCCGGAAGTCCCACGATGGGCCAAAAAGGGCCCCAGGACAGCTCGAGATCAACCCCAAGACAACCCAAAAGAGGCCCAGACAGGCCCACACAAGACCCCCAATAAGACCCAAAGGCGCCCAATAGCACCATGGCCCCGGAGAGTCCTGGACACGCCACTAGCTCACAGTGATATAGCAAGCTCTTCACGCCATAGCTCAGCGCGTCGCAACACTCGCGCGGTTCCCCGAAACTGCCACAAGTTGGCGCCATCTCGATCTCCCAGTGTCCCGCATCCGTGATTGTCTGATCCTCCGCAGACGCGTGCCTCTTGCTAGCTCTGGGATCATACTATGTGCTCAGGCAGCTCGAGCTTAAGATCCAGATCAGTTCGGTCAGGACTCGGATGCAAAAGACTCGATTCAGAGCACAATCGCGACATGCCACATCGCAATTCAGCACGGCACAGCACAGTACAGCCCGTGGCACGGCACATCAAGATCGACCCACTCAGCATTGCAATCGCCCGTCGCCCCATCAGGTGTCGTGACAACGTTGCCATGCCTCACGTGTCTATATATATATACTCCTTTCTGGGTTCGTGAGTCGATCATATTTTCCGCACGCTGATCCAACATGCTCATCGATGGCCCGAGCGATGCCAAGAGGGCCAAGCGAGGGCCAACGGAGGCCGAAACTGGCCAGACCTATATCCCGCCGTGGTGCTGCCCACGACGCGAGAAGGTCTGGGATCCCACCCCCAAGACTTCGAGACGGATCTGGCCGTGGCGACGGCGAGGCCGCCGGGAGGCCCAAACGGGGCGAACGACATCACGCACCTTGCTCCTCGAAGGTGGAGACCTCTCAAATGGGGCTGTGGCAAATGGCAGGGACCTTCTGACCTGGGTCAATCCAGACCCGGGTCAGTCAGGCCTTGCAAGATCCTGCAACATCCTGCAAGGTCCTGCACCCAAACCTGGGTCGATGCAAAAATCCTGCAATATCCTGCAAGATCCTGCACCCGAACCCAGGTCAATGCGACCCTGGCCCTGCAGGATCCTGCAAGATTGGGCGCTCTGGCTGACCCCCGTTTGCATTGACCCCGTCTCAAGGCTCCTGGTGATTGAGAAGGAGGATCGCACTGTATCGCCGATGCACCGCCGATGCACCGGCGACGTCGGGACGGAGAAACTCGGACTCTCCCGAGCTTGCCACATGCAGCGCGGTCCTCCGACCCCATCTGCTCCATGTCGGAGGCCTAGAGGATAGCGATCCAATCTGGATTCTCAAAGTTCGATCAACCTCCAAATCGGGTGGGCCGAAGATGGAGTCCAGGAAAAGTAGGTGTCGCCTACCATGGCCCGAAGGAGCCATGAGATCTGCGAGATTCCTCAGGGCCTCTGGCCATGATACCCATTAGACTAGACGCCCCATCGACGATCTAGCCTCGCTCCTCAAATCCGGACTTCCGAGGTCGTGATTGGTTCAGAATGCCCCGCAGATCTCGATCTTTTCCTGGGGGCTGGTTTTCCTTCCGAATTGTCTGGCGGATCGAAAGCCCGCTGGCCCCCCTCAATCGAACGCGGCGAAACACCTGCAGTGACTGTTTCCCGGAAAAGGGCCTGGGCCCAGGGCTCTCCTTTAGTGGGTCAAACTGATGCTGGGCCTACAATCGCGTAAGGCCGGCGCATTTCTTTTGCGACGGAGAACGGGGTCGTGTAGCGCCGGCGAATAAAACCATTGAGGATGTCCCGAGCGAAACGCTGATGTTGAAATTCCGATCAATAAAACATTTGGTGGAGGAAACATTTTCGCTTGTCGCGAACATCCCAAGCGAAACGCGTGTTTTGCAGAATGTGTTGAGGATGCCGCGAGCGAGACGCGCGTTTTGCGTTATAGATTGTTCCTCCCCTGGGAACCAGGATTCAGGGGATGCCTCAGGTGAAATGCTTGTTTTCACGTGCCCAAGTCTTGAGGATGTCTCGAGCGAGACGCTTGGTTTCACGCGACCAGGTTGCCCAGACAGACGTCTAGAATGAGGATTTGTTGAGGATATCTCAAGCAAAACGCTTGGTTGTGCGCGTCCAGGTCGCCCAGGTAGATGTCTAGCATGAGGATTTGTTCAGGATGTCTCTCGAGACACGCTTGGTTTCACGTGTCCAGGTCCCCAAGGTGGATATCTAGCATGAGGAGGTGTTGATAACGTCTCGAGCAAAACACGTGTTTTGACGTGTCCAGATCGCCCAGGTGGGTGTCCAACATGAATATGCGCTGGAGATGTCTCGAGCGAGACGCTTGCTTTCAAGTGCCCAGGTCGCCCAGGCGGATGTCTAGCATGAGGTGTTGAGAACGTTTCGAGCGAAATGCTGGTTTTCACTTGCCCCGATGTCTAGCATGAAGATATCTTGAAGATGTCTCCAGCGAACTGCTTGCTTTCACGTGTCCAGGTCGCCCAGGCGGATGTCTAACGTGATGATGTGTTGAGGATGCGTCGAGCGAATCGCATGGTTTCCAATGTCCAGGTCGCCCAGGCGGATGTCTAACATGAGGACTTGGGCAGGACATCTCTCGAGAGACGCCTGGTTTCACGCGTCCTGGTCGCCCAGGCAAATGTCTAGCATGAGGTGTTGAGAAAGTCTCGATACAGACGCTTGGTTTCACGTACCCAGGTCGCCCAGACGGACGTCTAACATGAAGATGTGTTGAGGATGTCTCGAGCGAGACGCTTTGTTTCACGCGTCCAGGTCGTCCAGGCGGATGTCTGACATGAGGACGTGTCGGGGATGTCTCGAGCGAACCCCGTGTTTTCTGTGTCCAGGTCGTCCAGGTGGATGTCCAACATGACGATTTGTTGAGGATGTCTCGAGCGAAACGCTTGTCGCAATAGAGCGCATCGCAGTCCAACCCTGCCCGTCCGTGGGGCGCCCCGTGGCGCGCTGGCGCGTCCTGGCGCGTCCCTTGCGAAGTTCTGGCGCAACGTGCCCTGGCGCGTCTCCTAGCGCGCCACTCGGCTTGGCACGTTTCCTGGCTCGTCTTCTGTCGCGTTTCCCGGCTCGTCCCCAGGCGTTTCCTCCGCCCGTTCCGTGGCGCGCCCTTTGCAACGTCCCCTGGCATGACGTCCTTTGGCCGCCCCACGGCACGCGTCAGAGCACGTCCCGTGGCAGGCCCCTGACAAGTCCAAGGCACGTCCCCTGATGCGTTCTCTGACACGCCCCCTGGCGCATCCCCCATTGCGGCCCTGGCGCATCCTGTGGCGCGTCCGTCGGGATTTGTGGTCGAGTTGAGTGAGCGTCCCGCATGCTTCCACTTCAACTAGCTCTGGGGCAGCTACTGTGTGTTCAGGCAGCTCGAGCTTAAGATCCAGATCAGCTTGCTCATGACTCGGATGCAAAGGGGGACTCGATCCACAGCAACAATTTCGGCACGGCGTACCGCAGGTCAGCACAGCGCAACACAGCACAGCCCATGGCAGGGTACATCAAGATCGATACACTCAACATTGCAATTGCCCGTCGCCCAATCCGATGTCTCGAACATGTCGCCACGCCTCACACTTCCGTATTCCATTCCAGGTTCGTGGGCCGATCATAATTCACAAAAAGAGGTCCAGGAAACTTGACGCCCCCACCCCCGCGCGGCGCGCCCCCCCCCCCCCAGGGGGGCGCGCCCGAAATGGCTTTCTTGCACCTCGCCACGGCCTCGCCGGCCAGTCCGGGCACCGCGCGCGCCCGCGCGGACGCGGGGCCGCGGAGGACTGGGGGGGGGCTGCGGAACAAAGGGGGGGGGGCCTGGGATGAGAAGAGGGAGGGAAGGATCCTGAAGATTTCGAGGGGGGAGGGAAGGCGGGTAACAAGAAGGGGGGGGGAGGAGGGGGCGGGGGACGGAAGAGGGGGCACGGATGGAGGAGCAGCATGGTGAGAGGAGGAAAACAAATAGGCAGGGGGAAGGTGGAGGAACGAAAAAAGAAGCCAGGAAAAACATACGCAACAAATGGATGATGCGGTCGGGGGGGATGTAGGAGGTGGGGGAAAACAGGACGAGGAGAGAAATGAGGAATGACAAAAAATACATGGGGGATGGGATGAAGAGGAGGGGGGGAAAAAGAGGGGGAAGACCAAAAGGAGGAGGAGGAGGAGGAGGCATAGGAACAGGAGGAGGAGGGGGAGGAGGACGGGGAGGAGGGAGGAAGAAAAGGAGGAGACGGGAGGGAAGAGGGGGAAGGAAAGGGACTACAACTGAAAGCGCGAAAAGAGAAACGAGGTTTTCCGTAAACGGGTGGGCAAGGCGGCACGTATAGGGCGCGAATAAGGCGGGCACGGAAGCCGGGCCAACTCCCGCACCCCAGCACAGAAACAACGTCGGCAAGGGGAGAACATCACAATCGGCAGAGAAGGCGGGGAGGTGGACACACCTACCGTTCGACTCTGGTACTCTGGTGTTCAAGCGAATCCGTCGCGCCTTCGGGGGGGGAAAACACAACAACACTCAAGGTGGGCTCTGCTCACCGCCTCCTCGCCCCCCAAAAAAACGCCAGGCCGCGACGAGAGCGCCGCTGTACCAACCGCCTCTTTTTTTATGAAGCTGCCTGCAAAGAAAGCGCGCTCACCTGGTTCCAGCATGTCTCGGGGCCTCCAAAAGAACAGCGCCCCACTGCGGCGCCAAACGAAAAACCGCTCACGGCCCCCAGGGCCAGGATGAGGTTACTCCTGGAAAAGCTCCTGAAACCATTCAGAACAGTCAAAGTGACCCCCCAACTGTACGATGCGAAACTCCAAAAACAGATGACACACAACCGCGTCCTGCCCGGACACACTCCGCGCACGCCCACTCAATCGAACGCTCACCTAGTCAATTTCGAACGTCGGCCCCCGCGCCTGTCGTCGTGCGCATCTCACCCCCAGAGAGAGAGAGAGAGAGAGAGAGAAAAAAAAAAAACAAAATAGAGAGAGAGAGGGTGAGAGAGAGGAAAAAAAAAAGAAAGAGAGAGAGAGAGAGAGGGAGAGAGAGAGAGAGAGAGAGAAAAAGAGAGAGAGAGAGAGAAAGAGAGATAACAAAAACAAGAGAGAGAGGGAGAAAGAGAGAGAGAGAGAGAGAGAGCGAGAGAGAACAAACAAATAGAGAGGGACAGACATATATATATATATATAGAGAGAGAGGGAGCGAGACACACAGATCCGATGACCGACGCCGCGTGACCTCGTGAGACAGTCGCGAGAAGAATCCTCCCACTTCTGCGTGAGCGAGCTCTATGCCGTGAGCTCGGGGCGGCCTTCTCCAGCTTCTCGTCGCAAAACTTAACCGCGGCGTGGTCATATCTGATCTAGCTGCCCATCACGCTATGGATTAGCTCTGGGCCCATGCTGCGCTTGGTCATGGGGTCGGTCAGCGTGTCCCAAGTGCCGCGCCAGTGCACATGGTCGATCTGCTTGGCGCAGGCAGGTCAGAGCCGAGAAGGGATCTGCACATGAGCTTGTGCCATCGGCCCACAGCGTCCAGCAGGCGGCGCACCTGTTTGCCAGCAGGGCGGCACTTGCCGAGACGCACGTTTTCGGCTCCTCTAATGCCGTATCCTGTCTCCTCCTCCCACTTGAACAGACCCGTCGCTGCGCGCGCTGAATCGCCCGGCAGCGCTGGGTCGCCCGGCACGCTCAATGGAGGTCAACTGAGTGGCCAGCGCAGCGGAATTGGAGACGATGCGCGCCGCGACGCGGCGCAGGGCGAGCAGGGCGTCGGCCGCTGCTCCCATTAGGGAGACAAAGTCGCGAAGCTGACCTCCGGCCGGCTCGTCAACCTCGGCTTTGGCAAAGTCAACGCGTCTGATCGGTATCCGAGCGATGTACTCGTCCTGGTAGAGCGTCGCGGCGCCAACGGCACTGCGGTGCGAGTGCGCCCCGCAGTGGATGGAGTCATCGCACGACATCGCAGTCGGCCTTCATCTGGCCGAAGACGCTCTCGACGTGGCCGATCAGGCGGTCGACGGGTTCCTGGCGACCAGCGATCCCCAGATCGTCAACGCGCTTGAACAACGTAATCACGAGCCCCGAGACGCCGGCAGCACAGCCGCCGGACGCCGCGCGCTTGACTTCGAGCTCTGGGCCCCGCCTGCACCTGGCGGGCGCGGCGTTGCACCCAGGCAAGCACGTAGCACGGGTGTGCTTCGTGGAGAAGGCTCGCGTCGCAACCTTGCGGCCGGCGCCCGGCTCGATGCAGCGCGGGTACTCCGTCCGCTCGTCGAGGCGCTCGTAGCCGGGCAGCTTCCCGAGGATGGCTGCGCTGCCGGATGGCAGGGTGAAGTTCGCCGATCGAAGTGTTTTGCCTTGCCCCTGAATCTCGGCGTGGGCCATGCCGCGCAGGAGTGCCTTCTCGACGTCGACGGCAACGTGCATCCTGTCGGGGCAACGCGCCGCCCCTGACGGCCGTCGGCGCTGAGGCGCCCGCTTCGCTGTCCCAGGCAACGCCCCCAAGGCTCTGGCGCCCCTGTCGCGAAAGCCCCTCAACGCCATGCGGCGCCGGATTGTCCTCGCGGTCTTTCCGTCTGACCCCGTCGCGTGCTCCCGCTTGAAAGCGCGTCCGGCTCCCATTGCGTCTCGGGCGCCCTCGACCGGCCGCGCCTCGAAACACTTGCGCTTGGCCCAGATCGCGAGCTTTTCGAGGATTGCTGCTGCGACCTCCTTCGCCAACATCGACTCCCCCTCGTTGGGCAGAAGGTCGACGTCGCGCGTGACAACCGCGGTCTCGACGGCGGCACGCATGTCAAGCGCGGCTGTCTGAAGGGCGCCGGCCACAGCGTCGCTGGACGCAGCCTCGTTGGAGCTCAAGAATGCTTCGGGCACACCTGGATTCAGATGCAACTCCACATGCTCACCATTGTCGTCCTCGCCCCCAATCGCGGCGTTGTCCTTGCCCACCAGCGCCTCGCGCGGATGCTCTGACGCCGGCGCCGCGCGTCGAGGCGCCGGGAGCACTCGCGCGGCCCACGGCCTAGTCGGCCGCGGCGTGCTCGACGGCAGCGGGGGTCCCACGTCGGCGGTCGGCGCTATCCAGCCCCTCCAGCTCCTGGGCAGATCTTCTGCCCACTCGACGTCGCGCCCAACTGCCACCGTCACCTGTGGCTGGAGGTTTTGCCGCCTGTCTCCTCTGGCATAGCCAACAGGACTGATGGCGATCCCCCATCGGCGGTTCTGGCGGTGTCCTCGGGAACGCCAATGACGACGCAGTCGCCGCGTTCGGCCCAGGTCGCGCCCTGTCCGGCGCCCGTCGCAATTCACGGCTCAGCACCCACGGTGAGCTGGATGATGCGAGCTTCCTCCCAATGCTCGCCGATGAGCTGGCGGACGTCGGACGCGACGCCATTGCGGTGGACCTCTCGGGCGCCGGCGGGGATCTGAGGGAGTCGCCAGATGGCCGGGCTGCGGGTGCATCCCGGCCAGGTGCCCGCAGACTTCTGCCCGCTCCAGTCTGGCATAGCCAACAGGACTGATGGCGATCCCCCATCGGCGGTTCTGGCGGTGTCCTCGGGAACGCCAATGACGACGCAGTCGCCGCGTTCGGCCCAGGTCGCGCCCTGTCCGGCGCCCGTCGCAATTCACGGCTCAGCACCCACGGTGAGCTGGATGATGCGAGCTTCCTCCCAATGCTCGCCGATGAGCTGGCGGACGTCGGACGCGACGCCATTGCGGTGGACCTCTCGGGCGCCGGCGGGGATCTGAGGGAGTCGCCAGATGGCCGGGCTGCGGGTGCATCCCGGCCAGGTGCCCGCAGACTTCTGCCCGCGTAGTCGCACAGTCGCACAGCGCGACCGTGGTGTAGTTGGAGGCATTTGCGGGACAGACGGCGCAAGGCTCCGAGGACGCTTGGGCGTCTTGGGGGCGCCCAAGAGGGGGCGTCCAAGGGGGGGGGGCGCAAATCGTGGCCGGCGGCGCGCGCGCGGCCCAGGGGGGGGGGGGAGGGGGCGAGGACGTGATGATGTGAGGAGAGGCGCCGTGAGACCTGGGGGGATATCATGGCCCCCGCCATGAGATCCACCCCCCCTAGTCATCGCCCCCCTCTTGGCCGCCCCCGAGCGCCGTCGCGCCTGCAGGGTGCGCTGCACGCCCCGGGCGCCCCCCCATCTGCCCGAGGTCCCGACCCAAAAGGGAAGGGGGCACGCGCCCCAGGTGCTCTCCCATGCGGTCCCGGATGGTCTGCCGCGCTGGCGGCAGCCGCTTGCGACGGCGCCTCGACGCGGGGATGAATGTGACAATGTCCCGCGGGATGTCGGCCCCCCGCAGCGCTCGCGCCGCCCCCATCCGTCGCGGCGCGCCGCCGCTGGAGACGTCGCTTGCCCAGCCCGCACGCGCGTTCCACGCGGGCCACTGCGAAGGCGAAGCGATCGCAAGGAGGTGGCGACGTCAAAGCGAGTCCAGCCTGAAAGCGCTGGGCCCAGGCGGAGCTCGAAGAGAAGGAGGTCGAGGGAATGGGCATGGGGGGGCGCGGGGGGGGGCGGGGGGAGGAGAGGGGGCCCGCGCCCGCCATCTCCGCGGGCCCAGCTTCAGCGCCGCGCTGGCCAGACTCTGGCCGCGCTGCCCCCTCCACGACTTCGAGCGCCGGCCCGCGGGCCGCAGCGGCCTCGCGGGCGGTGGCGGCGCCGAGATGGAGCTCGGCTGAACAGAAACTGCGGCACCGACGGCGGCATGCCCAGCGCGGGGGTGCCAGCCACGCCGCTGCCTGACCGGGCTGTCTGGGCAGAGCTTCCGCTTCGGGGGCGGGGGTGAGATCCACCTGGCTGTCGACGCGAAACTAGGTGTCATCGAGTTTACGTGGCGTCGCCTTCCGGGGGCACACTGGGCCGATGAAACAGGCCGTGATCTCCTCGCGTCTTCAGCGGCGGCGAGGCAGCGCAGGGGCATCGACTTTTTCCACTTGACGGGCGCCTCTTCGGCGTGAACCGCCTTGCGCAAATCCGAAAGATGTTGCTCGAAGTCCACGCGGATTCGCCGGCTGCGACTCTGCGCTGCAGCGGCTGCTTCACGCAGGGGATATCATGCGCGACGCGGGTCGACAGATCGGCGTGCGCGTCTTCCGTCATGGGCACTGGGCCAATTCAGCGCGCTGGCGCCATACCCATACAACAGCCTTGTCCATAATTTTGTCGATCGCATCGTCTTCTTCTCGGAGCTTAATTGACATCGCGCGTCGACGGTAAACCCCGCTTCGAACGACCAGGAGGCAGGGCGCGCGATGTATCTCGATCTGACAGCTTCATCGAATGAGCTCCACACACCCTAAGCAGAGCACACCATTGAAAACAAACAAAAACTCAATTGAGAGGGGCGCGGGCGCGGATCGAGCGCGGACTCGCTCTCGCAGCGCACGCGTGCCCTAATGCGAATGGCCCCGCATGGCGCCTGATGCGCGCCCCATGAAACTCGGCGAGCCACGCGTTGACGAAGAGCGCTGCGTCACGCGCCAAGATGCCCGCTTTGCAAGCGCGCGAGGGACGTTCGCGCGAGCGCCTCCTGCAAGCGCGCCCGCGAGCCAGCCCGCAAGCGCGCCTCAGAGCGTGCCCTACGAGGCGCCCTTCCATGCGACAGTTGTTGGATTAGGCGCTTCGCTCGAGACACTCCTGCAAACTCGACCCTGCGATTGCTAATCTCCTGGCGGGCCACGGGGGGGGCAATCCACGCCCCGAGGCGACATTTTGGGTGCACTCGGGCGCTGGAGTCTCATGAGCCAAACCCAGCTTTCTGGCCGAGCAAAATTCGGATGATGACGAAGGCGTCTCCAACCGCAGCCCTCTGCGACAACGGGGGCCACCTGCGTGGATATGCCCGCGCATTCCCACGCTGCCCCCCTAAATTCCAAACTTCTGGGCCGACTAGAACCCATTTAGAAAATCAAGTACGCACCCTCAAAGAGAGACGATATCCGAACCCGCACGGCAAATCTCATTAATCTCCGATGCGGCATCGTGAAGGCCGCTCTAGCGCTTGAATTCAAGTCCCACCTGCAGCGCGTGGTGCACCTCAGTCCTTCTCCTCGTTCCCATTGCAAGACCGCCGCGGCCGGGGGCGCCACGGGAACACACTGGAACAATTGCGCCGACACCAGTGGCATTCCATCCGAAACCGCACGAGCTGGCAAAGGATGGAAGACTTGGCTGGAAGCCTGCGCGTCCATCTCACTATCCAGATTGAGTGCGGCCATCGCGGCACGGGCGGCGGCGGCGGCCGAACGTGGATATCCAGGACCGCGCGGGGCCGCGCGCCCATTTGATTTGCAAAAGGCTGATCGTGGTGAAAGTGATAGCGAACGGATGGTGATGACGATGATGATCGATGATGCTGAAGAAGTGAGTGATGATGACGATGGTGAGGTGGTGATAGCTCGAATGGATACGATGGCCATGATGATTTCGATGGTGACGGTGATGAGGCATATCCAATGATGACTGTGCGGATGAGGATGAAGATGGTCACAGACACGGCTGTGATGACAGTAGCGATGATGACGATGATGACGGTGGTGGTGCGGATGCAAGCAGAGGTGAGCATGAGAAAAGGAGGGCGCTCAGACCTGCAGACCTCCAGGTCTGTAGGCGCGCGCAAACCTGGAGGTCTCCAGGCCCGAGCGCCCCAAACAAGATACGAATAAGGACACCCTTTTCTGTATGCATCGAAGTCATGCCCTTCAGGAGGTCCGCACGGATCTCTCGCATCGGAGCTGGACAACTCTGGCGGCGCGGCGCCTCCGGCGCCGCCGGTGGCGCGCTTCGCGCGCCCGGCAGGGGGCGTTCGACGCCGATCCAGGAAATCCCTTGTGAACCTCCGACAGGTGGTATTTCCCCACGTCGGAAACTTGGACCAGGACCTCTGGTCGTGAACTCGTTCTAACACTATTCGCGATAACCCCCCGTTACCATCCCCCCCCCGCCCCCCCCAACACACACGCCATGGCCGCCTCCACCCTCCCCATCCCTACCCCCCCATCCTGACTCCACCGTGATCCCTTATCCGTTCTCCCCCTTGGCCCTCCCCATCACAGCCCTCTTTCCCCCCTCCTCCACTATTCGCCGATCTCTTGCCGTCCCCAGGGGTCGCTGCCCCCACGCCGTCCTCTTTCGTGGGGCCCTGGATTTTCACCTGCCGCATGGACGGGTCCTGCGCAGAGGCGGCCGCGGGGAGGGACGGGAATGTCAGATGGAGAAGGGCACGGGAGGGAGAGGAGGAGGAGGAGGAGGAGGAGGAATAACGCCACACATAGCTTCCTAAGGTTAGTTTAACGGTTCAAACGTGCAAAAAGGAGGAGGAGGAAAGCTACAAGGGGAACGAGATGGAAGTGGGAGAGGAGAGCAGGTGGTGGGGGGAAGAAGGGATAGGTGGCAAAGATCAAAGTGGAAAACATGTTCAAAAGGAAACAAGAGGAAGACGAACACGAGGATAATTAGGTGGACGAAGGCGAGGGGAAGGTCAATGGGAGAGATCAGGGGGGCGCCCGCCTCTCCGCGCGGGGCCAGAGCGGCGGAGGAGGAGAACGCCGACGAGACGCTGTGCAGCCTGCCTACAGCAACAGCGCGGCTGGCCCATTAGACACACACACACACACGCACACACACACACACACGCACGCACGCACGCACGCACGCACACACACACACACACACACGCACACCAATCACCGTTCCCACGAACGCGACCCCGCTTGAATGCGAGGCCGGGCGGCGAGAACGGAGCGACCACGACCAGGACCGTCGGTCTTGGTATGGGCTCGCTTCGCGCGTGCGGGCAAGCAAAGCTGCGCGAGGGCGACGGTGCGTCTATCCTGACTCGTTGTTTGACGTTGTTTACGACGCGATCATGTCTGGGCATGTTGTCCTGTGCTTGCCCCGTTGGCTGGTTGCCCCGTGGCTGTCCCGTGGGTCGTCTCGTGGTTGTTCCTTGGGTTGGCCGGTGGTTGTCATGTGCATCGTTGTCCCGCGGGAGGTCCAGAGACTGTCCCGTGGGTGGCCCCGTGGGCTGTCCGGTGGTTGTCTCGCCAGGGTGGCGCAAATCACATCCGCCGACCCTGTCGGCGTGTGTGAGGGCCTTGGCTGTTCGAGTCGTCGTCTCCGTCGGTCGTCTCCGTCGTCCACTTCCCACTCTCCTCCTCGAGCTTGTCAGCGAGGGAAAAATCTAGCAATGTCGTAATCGAGTCGAAAGGAAGCCCCTTCCCTTTGATCCCTTCCTCGCGCCGGGGGGGGTCCCGGGGGAGTCATGGGAGGGTTCTGGGGGGTTCGCCACCCAGATACGTTTTCCCCGCCTGGGGGCCCTGGGGCCTCAGAAAGTACAAAGACAGGCCAAGAGTGTCCCAAGAGGCCGCCGAAACGGTCCTAGAGGGTCCCTAATCGCTAATCGATCGGTCCAACACGCCTTAACGCCCTCCAGACTGCCCAGGAGGCTCCCAGCACGCCCCAAGGCGCTTCCAAGAGCACTCTCGCGAGGGCACCAAAAGGCCAAATTCATAGATTTTTCGCTGGTTGTTTTAAGATTTGAGCGTTCTCGCCTTTTCCACTTCCCGCCGCTCCAAAACGGCGCCAGAGACCCCCAAGATCTCTCCAAGACGGCCCAAGAGGCCTCCAAGAAGGCCCCCAAAAAGCCCAGGAGGATCCCAAGACAGCCCAAAACGCCTCCAAGACGGCCCCAGATGCCCTCAAGACGGCTCCCAGAGCGTGCCCAGACGGGGGACGCGAACGGACATTTCGAGCTCTCGGACCCAAGAGGTCCCCCGGAAGCCACAAGAGGCCCACAAGAGGTCTCCAGGAAGCCCGAAGAGGCCCCCAAGAGGCCAAGAGGCTCCCAAGAGGATCCCAAGAGGCCCTAAAATTTCTCCCGAGAGACTTCCGAGAGACCCCAAGAACCATCCCTGAGGACTCTGGCCCACGTCAACGTCGTCGTCGTTGCCGCCGCCGCCACCGTTGTCGTCGTCGTGGTCGTCGTCGTCTCCTTTCAGGGTCGGCGGCACCGGCCGTAAGGCCTTCGCAATTACAGCTCCGATTGCAAGAGGAGTGCAAGTCGACAAGCTATGCCAAACCGAATTAAACTGGAATCGAAATGCACATCAAACATTCAATTCAGCATGCGCAACAAAGTTCAATTCGACATGCAAGTGGAATGGAGGAACAACTTGCAATCGGGAAGCATGTCGAAATGTGAATCCACCTTGTGACTTCATCTGCAATCGAAATGGGCCTCGGAAGGTACATCGACATGTACTTCCACACACGCATCGAAATGCAATCGATATGCACATCACACTGCACATACATTCGAATATCAACATGTAGCTCGAAAGCCACATCAATACTCAAATACAGGTGCAAATCGACACGCAACCCTAAGCGAGAATCGAAACGGATCATCGGCACGGAAACATCGACATGCAAATCCCATAACGATCAAATGGCAATCGCAATGAAAACCTGAAAATCTATTGAAATTGAAATCGGCACCAAAACCGAAATGAGCATCGTAGAACTGCTACGGGGAGAAATTACTCATCCGGACAAATCAAGTCCACGCATAATGGCGAACCATTGAGGAAGTACGAGCAACAGCAAGCTGTGTAGGGGGCGGCATAGGCGATGTATCTTGAAATCAATGCTGGAGAATTCGATTGATCGATTTATCATGGTATCGGTACTTACGGAATGTGACCAGTAGATGGACAGTGAGGTCGATACATGGACCATGATGTCAATGATACGTAGACAGTTGGGTCCATCGATCGGTAACTTAATCGGGGAGTATGTGGTGAGATCGGCAGATAGCGACGTCGAGCGACAGCTAATAAGGTTGCCTTCCCGATTGGACGCCACTCGCAAACCAACAGCTGTGCCCATCCCCCCAAATCTGCTTATGACCCGAAGCGTTGTCTATGATATACACTCTAGAAGATGTCCCCCATCTCCTTTCTATGTTCAATTACGTTGGCTTGTCTGCCTGGTGTTGCGTGTGCTCGGGATGGCGAACCACCGCTCGGGTTTCCCAGCCGTGGTCCAGTGATTCTCAACTACGCCAGCCATCTTGCCGCTCCTGCTCCTGCTGTCGCCCATGTCCCCCCCCCCCCCGGGGGGGGGCACCACAAGGCCTAACTTGTCAAATGCGCCGTGGGACCCTCAATCGCACGCGCAGTCTGGCCTGACTGCAAACGGCACCTGGGAGGACACATGCCTCTTTCGAGGGCATCCCGTGCTGCAGACACAAAGACAACGTAAAAAGCGGCACGCAGGAAACAATTCGCATGAAGGAAGCGTGTCCTGATCGAAAGGGGTCCTGGCCGAATTTGCGTTGTTTTCGGTCTCCCAGGGCCTTTCCCGGGCAGCGCATCGTCAAAAACGGCTCAAGATGCAGAGCTGGTCCCACAGAATCCACTTGGGTTTTGGACTCGTTCTCTTCAGGAGCCCTGACCTTCGCGGCGACACTGGGACGCCCTTGATCTTGCAACGTCGACCTAATTGATCAAGCCCAACTGCGCTCCGCATCGCGTGGTGACGCCGCACGACACTGGGTCGCCAAGGGGGTCAGGAGCAGACAACCTCTAATTTTGAAGTCGGGTCGAATCAATATGAGCGTCGGATGGAGCTGCCCACGGAGTCGAGATCGCATCGGGCCGCTTTCGCCAAGATGCGCGACACGGCGGGCCGTTGGACTGTCGGCTCGCCGGGCCGCATCGGTTCGTCGGACCGTCAAACACAAGCAAGGTCGACCCCGCCAGAACCGATCACGAATCGGATCGATCGGAGGGGAAGGCGTGGCGAGAGAGAAGGATCAGGAGGAATTGCCTCGGAATTGCCTGCCATCCACATGCGGCGGGTCAGCACTCACGACAGACCCCAGGGCTCAGGGTACAAAACGCCTGGGGGACGTCGGAGCGCAGCTTCGCGCTTAGCTCTCCCCAGATCGCATTCAGCCCCAGCCTCGGGGACGCGACGGCCTGGGTGCTGGCCCCTTCGGATCCGCGCCAAGTTCTCTCGTCCCTTCCTTGAGGCCTCGCCGCGCTCCACCAGCAGCCGGCGGGGGTCGGTCGTAGCCGTGAACCCGCAGCGAGCGCAGAAAAACAAGCTGTGGCGCGGCCATACCTGCACTCGGTGCGGCGCACGCGGAACTCTCCCACCCACCCGAACCTCCGCTCCCGCCGCCCGAATGATGTCGGCAGGATGCGTCTCGATCGCATCGCCGACCGCCGTGCAAGGAGAAGCGCACGCCTCGGCAAGGCAGGCGCCGGAGGAAGGGGAGGAGGAGGAGGTGGAGGAGGATGATAGGAGAAGGATAGGAGGAGGAGGATAGGAGGAGGATAGGAGGAGGAGGAGGAGGAGGAGGAGGAGGAGGAGGAGGAAGATGAGGAGGAGGAGGCGGAGGTGGAGGAGGAGGGGGAGGAGGCGGAGGAAGAGCAGGACAAGGAGAAGGAGGAGGAAGAGGAGGAGGGTAGTAGGAGGAGGTGGAGGAGGAGGAGGAGGAGGAGGAGGAGGAGGAGCAGGAGCAGGAGCAGGAGGAGGAGGATAATCAGGAGGGAGAGGGGCGCATGAGCAGCAACGGCCACGCAAAGGGGGCACAGGAGAGGGCAAAGGGCCGGACCAAAAGGAGTGGGCGGCGAGGGGGCCGCTCCCGCCCCAGGCTCGCGCCATCGTGCAGCATGCTCCTGCCCCATGCGATGGGCCTGTCTTCCACCACCACCATAAGTTGGAGGGGGGAAAGGACGCGCGCGACCTGGAGGCGGACACTGCAATGCCTGGCCCGCGCCCGCGGCCGCGCCCCACGCGCCCGCGAGCCACCCATGGCGACGAGGCACCTCGACGCCAGACAGACTGCACCCCGCATGGGGCCTGCCGCCTGAGGCCAGCAGGCGCCACGCGAGGCCGCACTCACCCCGGGCCAGGCGGCACCGCACCCAAAGGAAGGCCTGTAGCCCCAGCAGGCCTCAAAGGGCCGCCACCGCCAAAATCCGAGGCGAAGCCAGCAGACTCGTCGGGCCAGCCTCCCTCACGCACGTCGGCGGCGGCCGCGGCCTGCCCGCGGCGGGCCGCCGCGAGAAGGTAAGCCACCTTCTCTTCGCGAGTTCTCCCAGCAGGCCTCGCCGCTTCGCCGGCGATCTCGTTGCCGGCGTCATCGCCATCGAGGTGCAC